TCACTCATTCAATCAATCAAAAAGTACTTATTAAGCAGATATGGCCAGATACTGTACTAAGCACTGGAGATGAAAAGAAAAAGTAAAAACAATCCCTACCCTTTAGCAACTTGTATTCTAACAAAATGTTGGCTGCTCACCAGGTGCCTAAGACAACTTTGTTGACTTGCCTGATCTTATGATACCAGTCAGATGGTCAAATTCAAGGGAATGTAAATACAATGGCCACGTTGCTTCTGAATTGTACTTCTTAATAATAATAATAGCTAATATTTATATACCATCTGTTATGTGCCAGGCACTTCACAATCATTGTCTCACTTAATCCTCCCATCAACCCTGAGAAGTAGGTTATTATTTTCATTTTATAGATGAAGGAATTGAGGCAGAGGTTTAAGTGTCTGAGGCTGGATTTGAATACACGTCTTCCTGTCTCTGGAGGCAGGTAGGTGGTACAGTGGCTGGAGTGGCCTAGAGTTAGGAAGACTCAAGTTCAAATCCAGCTCGGACATTAGCTGTGTGATCCTGGGCTAATCATTTCACCCTGTTTGCTTCAGTTTCCTCACCTGTAAAATGAGCGGCAGAAGGAAATGGCAGACCACTTCAATATCTTTGTTAAGAAAACCCTAAATGGGGTTCCTAAGAGTTGGACATGACCGAATAACAACTTCCTGACTTCAGGATTAGCACTCCCTACTGCACCACCTTGTTCCCTTAGTCTTCTCTTGTAGCAGACCACCTCTTTCTGCACCCAGTTGGTACCTTTAAGTCTTACAACTATTTAAGTCTTACAGCTTTTAAGTCTTACAATAAGATAGGTCTATGGTGACATTGAATTTGGATATCACATTTTCATTTGTACTTGGGAGGCTATGCAATGGGATAGTGGTGGTAGGGATCTGTAGTCGTAATGCATTTGTTCAACATTTTAAAATAAGTTACTGTCACATATGGGGACTATAATTTTTGGCAGGTAACAGCAGCATCAAAAAATCATTAGGCAGCTCTTAAGTTGCTAAGAGCTCTATTGTGAGAAAAAGCCATTCTCAACTGGGGATCTTATAATTTAAATTGGAACTAATAATCTGAAGAAATATAATAACAATTACACCTTTTACAAGACTTAATTCCAAAGTTTTCTACTGATTTACAAATATACATCCTTACATAACAAGGAAAATTAAAAAGAGAAGAACTACCTAATTCCAAGTAGAGATTAAAAAAAAGGTTTATAAGCTATTTCTTATTTAGATCTATACTGTTGTGGACTAACACTCATATGCTTGATCAAAAATATTTTTCTTCCCACTCTTCAGAATTCTAATAATAATAATAACAATATTGTGTTGATCTTCCTACGGTTGTCTATTGACCATGCTATATAGGACACATGACTTGAGTTTTTCTAGTGGTGGATTTTGCTGAGTCATCCAGACTGTCTCCTTTGATTCCTCTTGAGACCAGTGGCATGTATTTTCAAGGGTGCTCATTAAGGTTATAGAGGTATTGTATGGCTATGAGAAAATTTTTCTCTATGGAAAGCCAATCAGTTATGTGAATCAACTGAACTAGCCTGTGCAGACAAGTCCAGGGGCTTTCTTCATTAACTGCTATCCTCATTCAACTGGTAGAGACCTAATGAGAAGTGTTTCTCAAGAAGTTGAACTTGTTGGTATTTTAGGGCTTGAAATAGAAAAAAAGTGCAAAGATGCTAATAACACACACTAAAAGGGGTGAGAGTATAATTGATGTGGGATTTCACTTGTATCTTAAATTTCTGTAAAGAGAAGACAGAAGTATAAATTATATGATTCTTGAGTTCAGGGACCTTGTCTTATTTTGAATCTTATCCAGCACCAGGCATATTGAATTGCATGGAATGGACACTTAGTAAATACTTGGTGAATGAATTAATATCTTTTTTTGAATGTATGTAGGTGTGAAGAAGGTGGTTATGTATTTTCTTTCTAGAGATATGCAGTTAATTATCATGTTGCCTATCAATTATTTGTTGTTGTTCAGTCGTTTCAGCCATGTCTGACTCTTCATGACCCCGTTTGGGGTTTTCTTGGCAAAGATACTGAGGTAGTTTGCCATTTCCTTCTCCAGCTCATTTTACAGATGAGGAAACTGAGGCAAACAGGGTGAAGTGACTTGCCCAGGGTCACACAGCTGGTAAGCATCTGAGGCTGGATTTGAACCCAGGTCTTCCAGATTCCAGGCCTGGCATTCTGTCTACTGTGCCACCTAGCTGCCCCAAATATTTACATTTTTTATTAATTTGATTACTTTTCTAATGGAGCAATTTCAATATATTTTGAAGTTGGGTAACACTTTTGTTGATATTCTTCACATTGTTGAACATTATTAAGGTGAGGCCTGGAAGTAAGAGCTTGGATTTGTGGACATCAGCTAAAAATGGCATCTATAATCACGCTTTCTTTCCTTCTCCACGAATATCGGGGGTTAGTGAACCTAGTCCGTAAACCATTCTGGAGGTTGGTCTGAAGGCAATGTTGCATTTGTTTGCCTCTAAATGATAAAACTAACTTTACGTGGACCTTCATTTATTACCCAACATCTTTCAAATCTATATTTGATACTTTTTTTGGGTGGGTGGGGAGAGGAGGAGGAAGAGGACACTGGACCTGTGCTTTCAGAAGATCATAGATGCTGAGCTAAAAAGGACTTCAAAGGCCATCCAGGCCAACTCCTTAATTTTACAGTTGAAACCAAGGCCTAAAGAGATGCCCAAGGCCAAACAGGCAGTAAGTTTCAGAAGTGAGATGTGGGAGCAGCTAGGTAGCACAGTGGGTAGAGCACTAGCCCTGGGGTCAGGAAGACCCAAGTTCAAATCCAGTCTCAGACATATAACACTCACTGGCTGTGTGACTCTGGGCAAGTCACTTAATCCCAATTGTCTCACCAAAGGAAAAAAAAAATGGGATCTCAGAAGTGAGATGTGAACTGAGGTCACCTGACTTCCAAGCCAGTATTCTTTGCACTATATCCCATTGCTTTCAATGACATAAAGGAACTCTCTGATGAAATAGATACCTCTATTAATATAGATCAGCACGGGCTCTGAAACCTAAGACAGTTGCAAGGGGTAGGGGTGAGACTGTGACATGCCCAGGGTCAGTCATTCAGTCAATAAACATTTTTTTTTTTTTGGCACTTACTACAGTGCCAGACATTATGCTAAGCACTAAAGATGCAGAAAGAAGCAAAAGACAGTCCCTGTCTTCAAGGAGCTCACACAGATTGCATATGTCAGAGACAGGACTTGAACTCAGATCCTTGTGGCTCCCAGACTAGCTCCACATCCACTATACCATGCCTGTCCCTCATACTATTGTACCAAACTTAAAATAATAATTCCCATTTGTATAATGCTTTAAAATTTGCAAAGTGCACAACCTTAAGAGGTAGCGATTACAAGAATTATTATCATCCCCATTTTATAGATTAGGAAATAGAGACTCTTAAGAGTGCGTAGGCAGTAGGTATAGTGCTATACCAGGGTCAGGAAAACCTGAAATCAAATCCAGCCTTAGACACTTATTGTCTGTGTGACCCTGGACAAGTCACTTAACTCCTATCAGCCCCAGTTTCCTAAATTTTAAAATGGGGTTAATAATAGCACCCACCTTCCAGGGTTGTTGTGAGTATAAAATAATAGTTGTGAAGCAGTTGGCAGACTATATAAAAGTTATCATCATCATCATCATCATCATCATCATCATCATCATTATTGACTTGCCTCTGATCACTTAGCTGAAGCAGACCATCTGAGACGTGATTCAGATCCAGGTCTCCTCACTTTAAGTTAAGTACTCTATCTACCTGCTCACTCTCTTCCACTAACCTTTCACATTAATTCAGTCAGCAGTCTCTTTCCCCACCACCAACTCACAAACTGCTCCCCTTTACCAACTAAAAACAACTTTCAAGACTGCTGAGTTTTGTAATGCCATACAGTAATTTTATACATTTGAATGACTTCATGGCAAAGCCACTCAAGAATACATGTCAGTCATTTATATTTCAGAATCCCATGGCAGAAATATGGCTGGAGTGGCTTCTCTGTTTTTATATTTATGTATGTTTTTTTAAATAGAGAGCTACATACTGCAGAAAACAGCTTCTTTCTTGCAACCAATCTCTCCCAAGAAAATGTGTGGCTGCCCTTGGTACCCCCACAAAAGCTAATTACACAGGAAAGCAGAAACCCAGGTATGATGTAAACTGTGTGTGTGAAGGGGCTGGGGCACACACATCTGTGTGACTTTTGGTAAGCTTTTGTTTTTTTAAATTTTAATCAGCAAACATTTACTTTCTCTCTTTCACACTTCTCTTGCTCCAAATTGAAAACAAAACAAAACAAAACAAAACCAAGTCCAAAAAACTTGTAATAAATATGTTAAACCAATTCCCTCTTTGGTCATGTCAAAACATGAGTCTCATTCTGCATCTCGTGACCATCTCACTTTTTATTGGTTAAGTCTCAGTTTCCTCATTTGTAATAATGAGAGTTTGATTAGATGATCTCTAAAATTGCTTCCCACTCAATCCTTTGATGATCCTTCCTCTTCTATATTCCCCCAATGTCTAATAGTGATAGACGGTGAGGCCTCAACTCATCCTTGTGCACTGACTGATGCCACACGAAAACTTCCAGGTGCCGGTGCTTTGCTCCCCGAGAACACTTGTTTCCCTGATAGACCCCGGGACAAGTGTAAGAGCAGGAGACGCGTCGCCGTCACCCTCCCTGGGGGCACAAGCACGCCACCGGGTCTAGTTTGCGGACTCCGCTCCCTGCGCGTGGCTGCGGTTGCTATGGAAACGGCGGAAAATAACAACTCCATGCCCCCATGGGTGTAGGCAGCTCTTGTGCTGTAGTAGTGGTAACAGAAGAGCAGCAGCGAAGTCCGCCGCCGGCCCGCCGCGCTAGCGCAAGCGTAGGAGCAGCAGCGCGAGCCGCCCGCCCTCCTCCAGCCCAGCAGCCGCCCGAGCTTGGTAGGGAGCTCGCTCGAGACCCCGCGAGCGCCAGATTCCCGGGGAACAGCCACCTGCAGCAGCAGCACCCTCTCCAGCCTCTACCGCCGCGGGGAACACCGGCGCAAGGCCCACTTGCCTGGGTAAGCCGAAGACCCAGCTGCACCTGGTTGCAGCCTCCTGCGCCAGGCTAGTGTCGGTATGTAGTCTTTTCTACTTGGGGCTCTCCTTAAGTCCCCCCACATCGCCTCTACCAGCCCTGGGAGCCGATGTGCCCTGATGCTTGCATATTCAAATGATGCACTTCTGTCTGCTGCGTGTGCCTGGGAGCAGGGAGCTCAGGGGGTCCGAGGATTGCTGTAGGTCAAGAGTGGGAGGGGGAAAAGGGAGCCCTTGGCAATTTCTCCTCTCGTCTTCCCTTTCTTCTGCCTGGGGATGCGCCTTGTGCCTCCTTGCACTGTGCTGGAGAGAGAAAGAGGAGCCCTGGGGGTTGCAGTCACCTTAAACTTTTTAGAGTTGGCAGAAGGGAGGAAGTCAGGAATCCTAGGGGTTGCAGGGGTCACGACCTTTATTGCCTTAAACTTTTTGGAGTTGGCAGGAGGGAGGGAGTAAGGAGAGAATCAAGCTGTCTGGAAGGAGTAAAGAAATTGACTATTAAAACTTCGGTGTCTGTAGTATTTCTAGCTGCCTCCTCTCACTCATCTCCCCCTTATAAAACATCCCATTTTGCATGTCTTAGCATGTAGCCTTTTTTTGCGTACGTGCACAACATACATTTCTTGCTTGGCATATATATGTATATATATATATATTTAAGAAGGTACAAAATGTATTTGGCATATGTATTTAATATGGTACAATAGCTGCATAGCTCACATAACAGCATATATATGTATATGTGCTTTTATAAGGTTGAATATATATGTGTACATGTCTGTCTATCGAGAGAGGACATATGTATGCTGATTGATGTAGATTGTGCTGACATATTTAAAGCACTTTCATTAAATCCTGTAATCTGTGTAATCAATTTAAACATTATGTCTAACGGATAGACATCTGTTAGTTTTACATCTGTTTATCCCCCCAGTAGTTGATTCAGTGTATGTGTGTGTTTGTCATAGAGAGGCTTCGGAAGAACTCGTTGTTATAGAAATACAGCTGTAGACTGTGCCTGAGACTCTGACAGCTACTAAGAAGCCAGCCAGCACAAGAGGAAAGAAGCAGGAAGGAGGTGGTCCTGTGGTAGAAGATGAGTAGCACCAGTACAAGATCCAACTGCCTGACTCAGCCAGTAGTGAAGAGCGTGCTGGTGTATCGCAATGGGGACCCCTTCTTTGCTGGACGCAGAGTGGTCATCCATGAGAAAAAGGTGTCCAGTTTTGATGTCTTTCTGAAGGAGGTGACAGGTGGGGTTCAGGCCCCCTTTGGAGCTGTCCGAAACATCTATACCCCTCGGGCAGGCCATCGAATCCGGAAGCTAGACCAGATTCAGAGTGGGGGGAACTACGTGGCAGGGGGCCTGGAAGCCTTCAAGAAACTCAAGTGAGTCATATTTGCCCTGGACTACTTATATTTTTTATTGATATTGTTGGTTTAGGAAATGCCAAACTGGGCTTTGCATAATTCCTACAGTTGTTTGAGTGGGCAGAGGAAATTTCCATACAGTAATTGACCTTTGTGTTGAATGCTCATGGTAAAGTTAATAGGGTTAAAATGGAAAGAGTTAATGGAGAGAGGAATTCACAAGGGAAGTATATCAGCATTATAAATGGGCTTCAAGTTTGGGCATAAAGTAAAAGAAAACTCTTTGGAATGATACAGCAGTTATATTCATCCTAGTAAACTGAATGTCTGATTTGATGCTCCAACATTTTGGACTCTATCTACTTTTCTTTATTGTTTCATTTAAAAAAACATTTTAAGATAAATTTCTTTTTGTTCAAGAGAAGACTTTAAAACATCATACACTCAGTGGGGGAAGTAATGTAAGCAAGCACTAGAGACTTTATTAAGAAAGAAGGAAGAACATTATTCTCTCTGTATTTCACTCTTTTCTTTTATAAATGTTCATTTTGCTCAAAATGTTTTAATAATAGCTACACTTTGATTCCAACACAGCAGAAGAGAACCATCTCTCCTCACATTTCAATGAGAGATAGTAATACTGAACATTTCTGTAACTTGTTAGTTACAAAATACTTTCCATACACTATTGAATTAAATAATATCTCATTTGAGGATTAAATGTGGTCAAATATACATTATTACAATTGAACTTCCTAACAGCCACCAGGGGTGTACACATTATTGTCCCCATTTTATAGATGAAAAGATTGAGGATTAGTGAAGTTGTGGCTCACCCAAAGTCATTTATTTGATTAAGTAAGTGGTTAAGTCAAATTTGAGCCGAGGGCATAGGATCGTAGATCTAGAACTGTAAGTTCTAAACTAACCCCCCCGCCCCCTTTTTTTTTTTAGTAGATGAGGGAGTAGAGGTCCCAGGACGTTAAGTGACTTTCCCAAGATCTCATAGGTCCTAAGTGTCACAGGTAGGATTTGAATCCAAGTCTTATAACTCTACAGCCAGTACCTTTTCTGCTATATCACACTGCTTCTGGCTCAAAATGCAGTGTTATCTCCATAATGTTAAAACATAAATAATTTTGAAAGAATAAGCTTTTCTCTTCATATTCTAATGAAGATGTCCAAGTTTTTCACTCCTCTACTATTGAATTCATCTGAATTCAGATAAAAGAAATAGTCAGTCCTGGGGCTAATTTTTGTGGAAGGTAAGGGATAAATTCATTTCCCCTATCTTGAAACAAACCAATCAAAATTATCCTTCTTGCAGCAATTGTTAGTCATGTGTCTCTTCAGATGTAGGCCTTATGGCACCAGTTTTTAGATGTCAGATTACAGTATCATAGAATTAGAACTGGAGAGGACTTTTAAGATCATCTAAATCACAGATCAAGATAAAGATATGTAGAGAAGTAATTTCCCCTGTTACACAGCTTGTAGTAGAGCTGGTTCTCCAATTCACTTCTGATCTCCTAGTACAGTTTTCATTCCACTATAACACACTCTTTCCACGTCAGTAGAAAAACTGTAAGATTCCAGTGTGTGATTCTTTTCTGTGCTTGGTAACATACCCAACACTGGATATGTCATCTTTGTGTTACAGTAAGAGGATAATAGAGATTCAGAAACGAGAAGAGACCTTAGAAGTCATCTTGACCAAATCTTTCATTTTACATAGGTTGAGTGATTTCACCCACATCCCCCACCCAAATGTTGTAAGTGGCAGAGCTTGCGTATAAAAGCAGACTACATGACTTTGAATTCATCACTCTTTCCATTACATGATAATTTTTATGTTGAGCACATTTTCAGTGGAAATAATATTCTGGTTTCGTGTCTGGAAATCTATCAATCAATTATGTACTATATTCCAGGCACTGTGCTCCAGGTACTGGGGATACAGATACAGAAAAAGAAACAATCACTAGGAATTCTTTAATTGATCTCTTTTGGTTACTTGGAATCTTCAAATCAAAAGATAAAAACAAACATTACTCTAGTCCAAATAGTTAATGCACATCACAGTAGATGCAAAGTATACTTTGCAAGAAGTTTAATGTCAGGCAGCTAGGTGGTGCGATTGATAGAGTGGTACATTTGTAGTCAAGAAGGACTGAGTTCAAATCCTTCCTCAGGTACTTACTAACTGGACAAGTAACTTAGCTTCTCTTGGCCTCAGTTTTCTCATCATCAAAATTGGCACATTACAAGGTTGTTGTGAGGATCAAATAAGTTTATGTGTAGATATATCTATATAACTTTGCAAAACTTAGAGTGATAAAACAATGTTAGTTATTATTATTATGCTTGTAAAATCAAATGTTACAAGTATTGAGAGATTAGAACATCTATTTCTGCTTTCAATTTACAGCTAATGCGGATTGCTGAATATATGAGTTTTTCTTGGTCTGAATGACAATTTATTTTCATTTATTCCAGAAATATGAATTTCTGTTATGATGATGGAATCCTAATGGAATTATATGTTAACTTTTAAAAATTTGAACTTGTGGGTTTGTGTAGTGAAATAAATTAGTGGAAGGAAACTCAGAGAAGTTTCACGTTGTAACTTGTGTGGTCAATCATTCAGGGCCAGCCTTTTTTTTTTTTCTTTACAGGGGAGGGATGGGAGTGGAGAGATAATGGAGGAAAAGAGTGATGCTCATATATATATATATATATATATTTCATATTTTTTAAAAATGAAAGTAAGCAACTTTCATCCCTGAATATATTATACCCAATTTTTTGGTTTTGCTAACAAATAGATTGCTAGAAGTTTTGCTTTTGGGACCCAGACAAAACTCTATGCATCTATTTATTATGGATGCAGTAAGACAACATGGCATAATGGATAGAGAGCTATATATGGCATCTTGAAGACCTGGGTTCAAATTCTGCCATAGGCATCTATAAACTTTTTCACTTGGACAAGTTGCTTAACCTGTATGAGTTTCAGTTTCCTCGTCTGTAAAATGGGAATTATATTATCTACCTCAGGGTTGTTGTGAGATTGAAAGGAAATAATATATGTTAAGGGCTTCGTGAACTTTAATATATTAATGTCAGTTATTATTAAAGAATATTGAGAAATTATATTTTATAAGAGATTGTTATTTTTAATAGTCAGAATAGTCTCTCTTTATGTCACTATACTTACTGATTCTATAGATCTGAAGTCAGTTCACTGTATCTTTTCTGTTGGAAAAGTTCCAGGCTGGGTGAAGGGTAGGGAAAAATTGGGTCATAGCATGAAATGTTCCTGGAGTTTAGGAATACAGAACAACCTCTCAGGTGTGAGAGATGGCATACTTGCTTACACAGTCTAAATATATGTATGAAGGAGAAGGTTGCTTATTTTCATATATGTGTATTTTGCTTTAAGGGACATTAATTTTTTTGTTTAAATGTTTTTAAATTAATATTAGACAGAAAAGGAAATGTTTATTCTACTTTATATGCTTTATATAATTGAAAGATTTAAGCCTTAAGAAAGAGCAGCATGATAGAAAGTTAAATAATATAAAGGCAGTAATATGTAAAAATTCAGTATTGGGTGAATTTATTGCAACAATCATTTATTTATTTATTTATTTTTATTTTTTAGGCAGTTGGGGTTAAGTGACTTGCCCAGGGTCAGATAGCTAGTAGGTGTCAAGTGTTTCATCTGAGGCTGGATTTGAACTCAGGTCCTCCTGACTTCAGGGCCAATGCTCTATCCACTGCGCCACCTAGCTGCCCCACAACAATTATTTATTGAGCATCTCTTATGTGCATACTGTGCTAGGAAACATCTGAAATGACAGGAACAGATTTAAAAAGATAAATCCAGTATACCATCATTGTAATGAAAAAATAGAGACCTTCAGAGGTCACCTAATCCATCCTTCTGTCTCTGAGTATACCCAAACCATCCCAGTTGGATTGGTATCTAACCTAATCTTAAAGCACTCTAGAGATAAAAAAAAAAATTTCCTTGGTATGTTACTCTAGTGCTCACAATCATTATACTCCTTCACTTTATTTTACCTGAATGCCTCCTGGTGCAATGTAATCCCCATTTCCTTTTCTTCTGTCATTGGCAAAGACATAAAATATCAGTCTGTATAAATCATCTTTCATATCAGAATCCATGTAGGAAGCAGGAATCTACTAAATAAATTGGGTAGTTAATGATTATGCAAATAATGTTCACTAAGTTCTGTAATAAAAGTATCTTTCTGAGGTTTCTGACCTCTTGAAACTTAGAGAAGAAGTTATCCAGTTCTGATCAGTGATGTAGAAAGCAGTTCTTGCCATTAGTTTTGTTTTTTTTTTTTTAAACGCAAATTTTTAGATATGGTTTGTTATTTCAATTTTAAACAGTTCTTTGGTTAACAAATACATATATGAAAATCCTCTTAACAGTTTGTTGTATTTTCATTAGTTGTTAACATATACTGATTATCTCACTCAAGTGCTATGAAAATGATCTTTGTTTATTTATTTTTCAGCTACCTGGACATAGGAGAACCAAAGAAGAGACCAATGGAAGTTGTTAATTCAGAGGTAATCCTACTACATTTAAATTTTTTTAAAATCCTAATTAATATCAGTTCCACTTTGACATTTAAAAAAATAAAGATACTAGTTCATATTTCAAAAGTGATCTTTATTTTATATCATACTGATTTTTAAAGCTTCTAAACAATTTACTTCTTGTTTTAGTCATGAGGCAATATCTAATAATAGCAGGAATGGGCTTTATGTACCCATTGCCCGTTTCTTGTGGTAAAATTCTTAGGAATTTTTGCTGTAGTATGAGAAGAGAAATCTGAACCTTGACACAAAATCCTATTTCTTTTGCACCTCCTTTTCCCTAAACGTTCACTTATCCCCAGGATGATATGGTGAGGAAGAGAAATGTTGCAATAGCAAAGATCTCACTCACTGGAAGTCATGAGTGGCTATGCTAAAGATAATGTCTAGTTAAATAAGATTGGATGGATTATTGAACCCACTTAGTCCCTTTATATTTTGGCTTTATCCCTTTACTTTTGTGCTTTCTTCTCACCTGCTTAGTCAAGTGAAGGAACTTTTAAAAGTAGCCTCTCAGTCCTAGGTGCTTCACTGCACTTGTTCATGGAAGTCCAGAGAATTACCCCAGTTTTGACAAAGTTGAACTTCGGCTAAGGTAAACTTTCTTCCTTTCTCATTTTGAGGATTTGGAATAAACCATGGTTAACAAGCATGTTTAAAGTACCAAACTCCTCTAAAATCTCAACAGGACTTCTGGGAACTCTGTGGAAAGTTTCATCATTTTCCTTATGAAAATATGGACTAAAAGGGAAGTCTAGTCAGCATAGAGTGTGAAGCAGAGATGGAGGTTTAGCCTTTTCCGGAATTTGGTTCAGTAACTGAAGCTTTCCCTTCCCATTTTTACTATGTGCTAGAAATAACATCTTTGAGTTTATCACATTATTAGGGAAACAGCACACAGAAAAAAATTGTAACATCCCTTTCGTATTCCTAGGGAGAATGCTCTCTTCTCACATCATGTATATATAACTTTTATTGCTAAAGGAATATAAATAAATATATAGTACTTGAAAGATTGGGGGGAAAATGCATTTCACTATTGAAATTATTTGGACAATATGCTATTCCTAAATAAAGCTTCACAAATAACCAACATTTTAATTTGTATTATGAAATTTTAAAAAGTAATGAGTATTTCAATAGCATTCTTAAATATGATTTTCAGTGTTTGTCAAACTTATTGTTCATGAAAGTGACAGACATAGCTTAAAGTAGGTCAGGAGAAACATTTCTATGTTATGTCTGCATTAAAACTAAAAACTCAGTGTCATTTGTCTGCATAAGGATAAAAATTAATAAATTATTGAAGATCCTAATTCTTTTGTAAAGGATAGCCATTTGTTAGCTTAAGGCAGGTTGTATGACTTGCTTATAGGTGTCAGTGTAGGAAAGTGTTGAGTGAGCATGGATTCCTTCTGTGAAATATATAATTATAAAATTCAAGCAATCTTGCAAAATGTAAACATAATTTACTTACTTGGGATTCTGATGTGTTTAATAAAAACAAACCATGTTGCTAATTATCCTTAGCAATAGAAGCAGAAACAAAAGCCCTAATTAACGTATGCTTATTGTTCTTTCCTATTGGGAACATCAGTTAGTCTTTGCTCTTTATTGTTGACTTATCACAGTATATCTATATCTATCTATCTATCTATATCTCAGATATCCTAATGTATATATGTATGTATATGTATTTATGTGTGTATACACACACACACACACACACACACACACACACACACACAAATAGCTGCCCCATCTTGGTGGCCACAGGAATTTCCCTTCTGTCCTCTTGTTAGAGATTTTCCTCTCTTTCTTCCTTTCTCTTCTTGCGATTCTTTGGAGCCCTAGTACTGTTTTTATGATTCTGGCTCCTCTTCTACTCCCCAGTGTTTCTTCTTAATCTAATTGATGGTAGGGTCTCTAGTGTCAGGCTGCCAAATTAGGGGAACCAGAAACAGAGGGAGAGGTGCAAAGGAATGAAATGAAGGAGGAAAGAGGAGAGGGAAAACCCAATCCCACAACCTCTTTAAACTATCCTGCTTGATCCTTGTCCCACATCCCTGACTTGAGGATACCTGCCAACTTTTCTTACCATCCATCTAGGCTCCTATAGAACTTAGAACTTCCTTAAAACTCTTCCTTAGAACTCATTATGTTGTGTTCTACTTCTCATACCTCTTTTTCTGTGTATTATCCTCCTCTCTTTCATAATCTCTAATATGTGAACCCCATTAACTGTGTGCACAGATAATAAGTATATTAAAAATGTTGTGAAGGCAGAATAAGAAAACCTAGAAATAAATTGGACATGTGGGGCGAGTAAAGGTCAGGGAACAAGGATGATGTCCAGGTTGCGAGTCTTTGTGACCAAGAGGATGATCAGTAAGAAGCATTTGGTGATGCAAGGCTGGAGCTCAGTAGAGAGGTTAGGGCTGGATATCTGGATATCTGGGAATCATCTGCAAAGAGATGATGATGGAAGCTAATGAAATTACCAAGTGAGATTATACAGAGGGAGAAGAAGAGAGATCACAGAACAGAACCTTAGGGAACACCCATGGATGGCGGGCATGCCCTGGATGAAGAACTTGGAAAGAAGGATGAGAAGGAATAATCAGGAGGAGAAGTGGGAGAGAGAAGTGTTATGAAACCCTAGAAAGACAACAGTATCTTGGAGAAGTAGTCGATCAATAGTTTCAAAGGCTTTGAGGACGTTAAGAAAGATGAGTTTTGAAAAAAGGCCTTTAGATTTGGCAATTAAGAGATAACTGAGGGTGAAGGGTATCAAGGCTTTGGTTGTCAAGGCTATCATGGGGGAGCATACGCTGTTAGCATACTACTTTATTAGAAATATGGAGATATTTTCCCATAGAAGCATTGTCTTAAAAGGTGGTTAAGTTCTCGTGTGTGTGTGTGTATGTATACAAATACACACGTACACACACATATCTAGCCATACATCTATCCTTTAGTCCTTTTCGTGCAGTCATAGATGATCTCTTATGATCATCCTCCACCCCTCTCCCAGTGTAGTTTTCCTACAGAGTAATAATTTTTCCAGCCTAGGGTTTACTAGTGGCAAAGGATGGTGGTAATTCTTCAGGAAGAATGACCATTGTCCAATATGGTTGGTCTTTTAAATAATTTAGAGAGGATAGTATTCAAGCATTTATAAGGTAGAGTGACAGTAACCTTTCAAACTATTATAGACATGCCAATTTCATATTGACCTTTGTTAAATTCTTTTGTAGTTCTGGATTGTTCTGAGTATTTCATATAGTTGGATTGTAAAGGATGATGAAGGATCTACTAGTTTCCTTTTCTGCTTTTAGGAAGGAGAGAGAAAGAACTAGGAATCATTCTTGTATGCTAACCTTGATCTCATCAACCCACATAGCTGCCCCTTAGGAATAGAGAAAGGGAATGAGAAAAGAAAGAATAACCCAAATGGAGAGGAGAAGGTTATAAGAGGATTAGAAAAGAATAGGAAGCTTACTTTGAAGTGGTTTCTCCTGGTCTAAAGTAGGGAGAGTAGAATAAAAAAAATCAACAAAGCATGCTTCTCTTAGCATTTTCAAAAATTGACCTTCTTTATGATATCTAGCACAGTGCCTTGCATATAGTAAAAACTTAATAATATTCATAAATAAATAAAATTATATAATTAAATATCTATGCAAATAACAAGCAATATTAATAATTATTATGGTAATATTTATTAATGCAAAATTAATAATATTTGTTCAGTTGAATTGAATTGAAGGAGAAGCAGTGGAAGCCCGTCATAGACTTGTCTCTAATGTCAGTCAGTAAATAAACTTTTATTAAGAGTGCCAAGTACTGTACTAATCACTGGGGGATACAAAGAAAGGCAACACCCCCACCCCCAACACAGTTCCTGCTCTCTAGAAACTCAAAAGAGTCTAACGGGAGAGACAACAAGCAAATAACTAAGTATAAACAGGATAAAGTGGAGATAATCAGCAGTAGGAAGGCACCAGAATCAAGAGGGATCGTGAAAGGCTTCTTGACTTTGGGATTTTTGCTGAGACTTGGAAGGAAGCCAGGAGGCAGAGGTGAAGAGGAGAATTCCAGGCATGGAGGACAGCCAATCAAAATACCTAGAGTCAGAAGATGGAGTGTCTTGTTTGGAGAACAGTAAGAAAGCAGTTAGATGGGGCAGTGGATAGAGGGCTTATCTTGGAGTAAGGAAGACCTGAGTTCAAATATGACCTCAGACACTTACTAGCTTTGTGACCTTGGGCCAGTCACTTAACCCTTGATTGCTTAGGCAGCTAGGTGGCTCAGTGGATAGAGTACTGGGCCTGGAGTCAGGAAGACCTGAGTCTAAATCTGACCTCAGATCTAGCTGTGTGGTCCTGGGCAAGTCATTTAACCTCTGCTTGCCACAATCCCCTGGAGAAGGAAATGGCAAACCATTTCAATATCTTTGCCAAGAAAACTCCATAGACAGTATGGTCCACAGGGTCATGAAGAGTTGAACACAGCTGAATGGCGAAACAATGAGGAGGCCAGTGTTAGTGGACTGCAGAGTACGTGTGGGGTATAAGATGTGAGAAGACCAGAAAGGTGTCTGTGTGTGGAGCAGGTTATGAAAGACTTTGAACATCAACCAGAAGATTTTGTATTTGATCTTGGAAGCAATAGAGAGCCACTGGAGTTTACTGAGTAGGAGCATGGTATATCAGACCTCTACTTTAGGAAATCACTTTGACAGCTGAGTGTAGGATGGACTCGAGTAGAGAGAGAAAGACTTGTGGCATGGAAACCAACCAGCAGGCTACTGCAGTAGTAAGATATTTCTGTAAGATCTCATCTATAATGGGAACTTCCCTTCACTCTCTATCCCCTGGCTGCTTTATAATCATGTCTTCCCTTGAGACTGGACAGCGGAGGGTTAGTGATCTCTGAATGATTACTCATTGCTCCCTTTAACTTATTCT